ATAAAAAAAAACCTTCTTCAACCAGCCTGAGCTGATTTGCTGGTCTTGGCTGGTCTACTAGATTGGTCTGTGGCTGTTAGACCAGTGCAAACCAAATAAAACCAGCAAACCATCTTAGACCATCTTGGTGATTCAGTCATATTATTAGGCTATTATTATTATTATTATTATTATTATCATTTTAAATGGATGCTCCTGACCTGCAGTTTATATTGCTGTAAATTCTAACATTTGATAGGTGAAGTTGATTTTAATTTTGATTTTCAATTTTTAAATATTGGCTGCACTTGGAAATGCAGTGGGGCAACTTCCATTTGACAGGCAGTTCAACAATTTGATTAAAAAGGTTCTCTGAGTTCAAACAGTGAGCTCACTGCGTTGATGCTTATCTCGCGAGAACTCTCTCCCTTGCTTGTGTCAGCGATGCGATGCTGATGCTGTTGCTGTGAATTTGATTGACGCGAACATGTCGGTGTGATGGGGGAGCGCCGGGATGCAGCTGATGATGGTCCAGAAGGGGAATACGTGCAGTCAAATCAGACGTTATCGTTAAGAAATAACACCTAACGTTTTCCTTTATCATCTATAACAAAGATGTCTGAATTTGTGTTGCATTTCACACGCGCGCAATGGATCTAGCTGATGCCACCGCAGCGAGGATCTGATTTGTATTTTTTCCTTCCTTCCTTCAATATCTGTGTATTATGGTAGAGTCAAGCCGGAGCATCAAACATAAACTGTGCAACCCTGATGACAACACCGTCAGGAAATCAGGATATCAACAATGGAATCGCCTTACACGTAGAGTCTAGTTTTTCATGATCACACACACACACACACACACACACACACACACCATTATTAGTGCTTTCACGAACGCACTATCCAAGTGTTGTCTAATCTGATTGAGCGAATAAAGTAGCCTGCACTTAAGAGACGGACCACTGCTCGCAAATTATGGACGAGGAGAATATGACCAAAAGCGACGAGCATCATCTGAGTTTGCAAAAAGCCTTGCAGCAGTGCGAACTGGTGCAAAACATGATAGACATTAGTATATCCAGCTTGGAAGGTCTGAGGACCAAATGTGCCACATCCAACGACTTGACACAAAAAGAAATCCGAACGCTGGAGGTAAGCGAGCATCCATTTGCCTGAGCCCAAATGTGAATGTTGCACCCCAGCATTTCTACAAATGTCACGAGAGTGGATGCTTGTGGGCGCGTGCATGCACATTAAACAATTTAGCATATTTGAATGTGTTTCCAGTTAAAGTTGCGTCTCGGGGATTGACTGTATTGGCGTAATAAATGAAGAAGCTGGCGCTGCAGTGCGCATTCTGCAGGTGGTGAAGAAGGTGGCTCGTGCGTTCGCGCTGCTAACATGGACACCGAAAGGGGCCTATTGTTGACATTAATTTATATCCTCGTTTTTTAATTATCCTCGTCATTAAAACGGTCGTTCGTACAATATAAACATGAGATCGTTTTAAATTGTGTTATGTAACCAGAGGTACTGTCCCAGATATTTTCTTTCGATATGATGGCAGTTTTTGTAGTAGCCTACTGTAGTGGTCGCCCAAATATGGATTTTTCAAAGACCCTATAGCTAGATCAGGGTGGCCGATGTGATGCTTTTTACAAATTAGACTTGTGTGAGAACGGGAAACGCATTCTGTTTTAACGTCTTTTACTGTTTTTTCCCCTTTATGTAGGCTAATGTGTCTCAAACTTGGGGATGGGATTCGATTCCTTTTCCGATTATTCTAAACGATTCCGGTTTCATTAGGGATTCGATTCGAGCTACTTTTCTTTCATTTAGCAGCTCATGATGCTTTCTGTCTTGAACAGCTTGTTGCCAAACGATGAGATAATTTCAGCTTGAAACAGAATAGATTTCAGCATCGAAATTCTATAAAAAACTCTATGTGCATAAGTGCATAAGCATAAGTGAAATAAAATAATAATAAAATAACTGATTGAAAAAAAAGAAAAAAGTAATTAAATAAATAAAAAATAAAACATAACACTCTTAATATTTATATTGACATGAATGATGTGTTAGTAGGCAGCTGATTTATGTCTCATGAGCCTTACAACAAAACAGATAGGCTAACCGGACGGAACGAAAGTACTCACTCGCTGTTCAAGTGAGTCAGATTCATTCAGAAACTGTTTAGCTAATCAAAAGTGTTTCTTTTACTAAAAATAATTGTCTCATAAAAGTCATTCGTTTGATGGACTACGCTGATCCCACTATGTTTATTTAAATCACTAAAAAGAACCGATTCATATGAGTAATTTGCTCAGGAATCAAATTACTTTTACTCGCGCTGTATGTTTTTGATTTACTGAAAAGAACCGACTCACAAGAGTCATTCATTCAGGAATCTGACTACCGGTTACTCTCTATCTTATTGGCTTTTCAGTAAAATGTACACCGTAAAACAATTAGTCGGTTTTAAACACCTAGTTCAGAACTGGTGTTTTAAATGTTGTTATCTTGAACAATTCGTTAATTACAGTAGGCCTATCTCTCAAAAGAAGCCAAAACAATAGTCTGATAATTTTTCTGTTAGTCTACCTTTTTGCTGCAAAACACACTTGTGCAATTGGACTTGTAACTGCAAACCTTACTGAGATATAGCCCTTGTGAAAACATCCCATGTAGATCTGGTCTCACCTGTTTGAATGGGTGGGGATTTGTAGACTGATCCAACTGCAGTCCTGCCTGATTTGGCACAAATTTCCTCCCAGCAGTCAGTTGGTTGACTTCTTTTGCTCTGTGTTTGCAGCATGTTTAGGCTTCAGATGTTGTTTTACATTAGACTGGGTCTGTGCAGATGCAAGAAAAAAGTATTTCTGCTTATGGGCTTGATGTGTCGGCTGTATGACACCTATTTCTTAACCCCACCATCTTGTCAATATCTTACATTTTAGCTTAGTCAGTTATTTATGTTCGGGTCTTTATGATATAGTATTACTTTATTTTGTGATTATATCTGTGTTTTTGTGTAAGATGATACTTTTGATCCTGATTATGTGCTGTTGCATGCATGTTGGCATAGTGTTACCCATTTTTTGACTGCTTTTCAGAAGCTCTCTAGTATTTTTGCACTCTGTTCTCTTCATGTGGGGAAACCCATTTTCCACTGGCTGTTGATTGCAGCCGTCACTAGTGTCAGTATGTCACAATGAAGCACTTTGTTTGTTCATGTTGATGGAATAATAATTACAAACATTAGATATTATCAGGGGGTTCTTGCTTGTTTATCTGGTGATGGATGTGCATTACCATCCTCAATTTACAGGCAGCAGTGATGCTCAAAGCGTAATGGCATTTGGTACCAGCAATACAGGGATCCCTCTTTAAATATATGAGCTTTTACCAAAAATAATAAAAACTCATTCAAGGTTTAAAGTATATTGCAACAGGGCATTTTCTGTGGTCTAGACAAACCGTGTACTTCAAATACATCAGGTACTGATAGAATATGTAGTATTTTCTAATCAAGGATTACAATTTATGTTGTTTTGTAAATTCATAATATTCATAACAAGCATATCCTTTGCTTACAAATTGCCATTGGCTTAAATGACATTAGAAACAACATAGAATCTACTATAGTGGACCCATAACAGCCACGGAATAAAAAAACAAAGGAAGCTGCAACTTTTATGTCACAGTTCTAATAAAGTCACAAGTGTAAGATAAAAGTCACAGTTACCTTTTTAATATTTTATTCTGTGGTGGAAAAAAACACAGAGTTGCAAGATGCAGACTCAGAATTCAGAGAAAAATAGAATTGCAAGATGTACACTCATGAATTGTGAGATAAAAGTCAGAATTCTGAGTTTATATCTCGTAATTCTGATTTTTTCCCCCCCTTAGAATAGGAAGTTTATATCTCGCAGTTCTATGTTTCGATGTCACAATTCTGACTTTTTTATTTTTATTTTTTTGCGTGTAAAATAAATCTGAACTATGAGATAAAATGCTGCAATTATATTTTTTTCATTTCAAGGCTTCCATAATGGTCAGATGTCTCAAATAAATAAATAAATAGTCATAAAAAATGTCTTTTTGAATCATACATACGTAAAATTAAAATGATTGATTAAATAAAAATGCAAATAAATTATTTTATTTGTTTACCTACATGTCATGTGATAATTAACTGTTAAAATGCCAAATGTTTTGTTAAATTATTGCAATATTTAAGAAATTACTTGTTCATATTAAGGGCCAAAAGGGTTCAGCTGACAAAAAGTTTGGGATTTCTTGGGTTAAAGAATTAATCTGTTCTGTTCGAAATATACATGCAGCCGTTCTAAAATAACAAGAGAGAGTGTCATGGATTTGGTATGACTTGTATTTAGTTCAAGAAGTGAATTGAGAACTTTGAGTGAAAATGTTCATTAGAAGAAACATCTCTAGGCTTTAATCCTTGATTATTTCAGCTGGGACCCACAGACAATGTGTTTTGTTTTCATACAGTAACATTCAGCAAACAGTGTTGCCATGGGAGATCAACTCAACACAAATGAAACTGAACAGACTACAGATGTAGATGGACAGTATTCAATAAACTGATAAGGCTGAAATGATCAAATAGCCGATTATTATTTACTCGTTAGCTTGAAAGGTCAACATTTATCTTGATGGCATCCAGTGTGTGATATTCCTCATGTACTGTATAACGCAGGCTCACTTGTGGACAATCCATAAGGACGCAACAAATCCATGTTGTGCCTTTTGTTGTTAAAAAAGTGTTCATACAACTCAGGGAAACCATTTGTATGGCTTTTTAAGTTCAGTTACTCAATTTACACAGTCAGTAAATGTAATGTTTTAAGTTAATGCAGAATAATTAAGAACAAGTTTTTATTGCATGTGATTTTTGCAAATGACATGCTTGATCTCATTTTTTCTTGAAGAAATGAATATTCCATATTTACAGTACATGAATATTCATCACATAACTACTCGTGAAATAGCTTAAAATGTGTAACATTTCTAAATGTGACAACGAAACCCCCAACAACTGTGTAAATAAAACTGGTATATGGTCAAACAATGCAACTATATTAATTATTTATGCATGCTGGGAATGGAGCTGAACCACAAAACCTTTTTTCCAGTATAGACTTATTTGAGCAAAAAATGCATTAATATAACTCACCTGCTGCTTTTTGCTTCATCTAAAAAAAAAGTAGTATATTATGACAGAAAACACCAAAAAATATTTTTTTTTAGCAATATTTAGTTGATGTAAGAATTATTTAGTGCATTTATGCTTTTTCCACCCAAAAAGTTGTGTGAATAGTTAAATATTAAAGTCTTTAAAACCATAAATAGAGTACATGAGAGACAAAGATTTGGAAATGCTATTATCAGGGGGTTCTTGCTTGTTTATCTGGTGATGGATGTGCATTACCATCCTCAATTTACAGGCAGCAGTGATGCTCAAAGCGTAATGGCATTTGGTACCAGCAATACAGGGATCCCTCTTTAAATATATGAGCTTTTACCAAAAATAATAAAAACTCATTCAAGGTTTAAAGTATATTGCAACAGGGCATTTTCTGTGGTCTAGACAAACCGTGTACTTCAAATACATCAGGTACTGATAGAATATGTAGTATTTTCTAATCAAGGATTACAATTTATGTTGTTTTGTAAATTCATAATATTCATAACAAGCATATCCTTTGCTTACAAATTGCCATTGGCTTAAATGACATTAGAAACAACATAGAATCTACTATAGTGGACCCATAACAGCCACGGAATAAAAAAACAAAGGAAGCTGCAACTTTTATGTCACAGTTCTAATAAAGTCACAAGTGTAAGATAAAAGTCACAGTTACCTTTTTAATATTTTATTCTGTGGTGGAAAAAAACACAGAGTTGCAAGATGCAGACTCAGAATTCAGAGAAAAATAGAATTGCAAGATGTACACTCATGAATTGTGAGATAAAAGTCAGAATTCTGAGTTTATATCTCGTAATTCTGATTTTTTCCCCACCTTAGAATAGGAAGTTTATATCTCGCAGTTCTATGTTTCGATGTCACAATTCTGACTTTTTTCTTTTTATTTTTTTGCGTGTAAAATAAATCTGAACTATGAGATAAAATGCTGCAATTATATTTTTTTCATTTCAAGGCTTCCATAATGGTCAGATGTCTCAAATAAATAAATAAATAGTCATAAAAAATGTCTTTTTGAATCATAAAAACGTAAAATTAAAATGATTGATTAAATAAAAATGCAAATAAATTATTTTATTTGTTTACCTACATGTCATGTGATAATTAACTGTTAAAATGCCAAATGTTTTGTTAAATTATTGCAATATTTAAGAAATTACTTGTTCATATTAAGGGCCAAAAGGGTTCAGCTGACAAAAAGTTTGGGATTTCTTGGGTTAAAGAATTAATCTGTTCTGTTCGAAATATACATGCAGCCGTTCTAAAATAACAAGAGAGAGTGTCATGGATTTGGTATGACTTGTATTTAGTTCAAGAAGTGAATTGAGAACTTTGAGTGAAAATGTTCATTAGAAGAAACATCTCTAGGCTTTAATCCTTGATTATTTCAGCTGGGACCCACAGACAATGTGTTTTGTTTTCATACAGTAACATTCAGCAAACAGTGTTGCCATGGGAGATCAACTCAACACAAATGAAACTGAACAGACTACAGATGTAGATGGACAGTATTCAATAAACTGATAAGGCTGAAATGATCAAATAGCCGATTATTATTTACTCGTTAGCTTGAAAGGTCAACATTTATCTTGATGGCATCCAGTGTGTGATATTCCTCATGTACTGTATAACGCAGGCTCACTTGTGGACAATCCATAAGGACGCAACAAATCCATGTTGTGCCTTTTGTTGTTAAAAAAGTGTTCATACAACTCAGGGAAACCATTTGTATGGCTTTTTAAGTTCAGTTACTCAATTTACACAGTCAGTAAATGTAATGTTTTAAGTTAATGCAGAATAATTAAGAACAAGTTTTTATTGCATGTGATTTTTGCAAATGACATGCTTGATCTCATTTTTTCTTGAAGAAATGAATATTCCATATTTACAGTACATGAATATTCATCACATAACTACTCGTGAAATAGCTTAAAATGTGTAACATTTCTAAATGTGACAACGAAACCCCCAACAACTGTGTAAATAAAACTGGTATATGGTCAAACAATGCAACTATATTAATTATTTATGCATGCTGGGAATGGAGCTGAACCACAAAACCTTTTTTCCAGTATAGACTTATTTGAGCAAAAAATGCATTAATATAACTCACCTGCTGCTTTTTGCTTCATCTAAAAAAAAAGTAGTATATTATGACAGAAAACACCAAAAAATATTTTTTTTTAGCAATATTTAGTTGATGTAAGAATTATTTAGTGCATTTATGCTTTTTCCACCCAAAAAGTTGTGTGAATAGTTAAATATTAAAGTCTTTAAAACCATAAATAGAGTACATGAGAGACAAAGATTTGGAAATGCTATACACTGTAAAAAAAATACTGTTTCAGTTTTTCTACTTTAAAATTTCATGTTTAATTTACTGTGTTACTTGCCGTTTTTCTGTAATTGTTTTTAAAATGTGGTGAAGCTTTAAATGTTGCATTCATATTCCTCCTTATGTCCCTGCACAAAGGCTGCAGTGACATCACTGTCTTGGGAAACTTGTCCAGTTTAGAATATTCATGTTTTTCCAACATGCTGAGAAACAGTTCAAAGAGATCATGAAATATTGAACGACATGAAGGACAGATAAAAATGCCAAGCATTGCATTTAGAGTTTGCTTACAGATCTGCATATGTGAATGATGAAAATTGTTCAACTTATATTTACATATTAAAAATGTTAAAATGTCATATTGTTGAATGAGTGCTATATAAAGTTCTTTCTTTCTTTTTTTGTCAGGGTAAACTGGTGAAGTATTTTAGTCGGCAGCTCTCTTACAAGCATAAAGTGTCCTTACAGGAGCAGAATGTGGAGTTGGATGGATTCCCGCAGCTGGGACACTGGTTCCGCATTGTTAACATGAGGAAGGAGGTTATTGAGGTATGTGCAGTCCTGTGTGTTGTGTCCTAAACCAGTCATACACAAACCCCGCCCCACAGATTTCATTGGCCAACTCCATCACACAGTCACCTGTCAAGAAAAGTTCAGACTTCATGGATTCAGAAATATCATGTATGGATTTGATTGTGACAAACAGTAATGCTGTCTATCAAGATGTGCTACCAATGCTCTACTAAAGTTAGGGTGTAGGTTAGGGTTAGTATTTGTTTTATTTAATTAGCCTTGTGATTGACATTAATAATGAAATCTGTAGAATTTCATTTTGGTCTCAAACAGGGTTATCGTTAATTAAAACTAAAACTAAAACCATAAAAAAAAAAAAACATTAACCAAAATAAAATATTAAAAGCATAAAATATTAAAAATGTCAAACTTTTTCAGCTGTTTGCTTAGGCAACATTTCTAATTTTTGTTTATAATCAAAGTACTAAAATAAATAAAATAAAACTAAAACTTAAAAACTAAAACCAAAAAACAAATCACAAAAACTGTCAAATTAAAATGAAAACAGAACATATAAAAACAAAATCTAATACTACACAGTACTTGAAATAAAAATAAATATTAACGGAAATAAAATATAAAAAAAACGTAAAATATAAAAAAATTATAATTGTACGTCAGTGATGCTAAAATAACGCTGGTCTCAGATCATGTCTTTGGACAATAAAAGTTTTTGGTTCATCCAGTCAATCATCAACTTTCATTTCTATATTATCTGTTATCAAGGTCCAAAATTAATAAGTTCCAAATGCATCTAAATATGGCAAGTAAATAAAGCCAGTTGGTCTCTAACATTTTTGGAAGTGCACAGTAACGTATGATTTAAAGTGATAATTTTATATACTGTAAGAACAATAATCTCTGACATAAACAATATTTGCAAATCAAATCAAAACAGTCTAGCAGAGAAAAGAAAAGTGAGTTACTATGAGTGAAAATATTAAATAAGAAAATGTCACTAAATCTTGTCTTAAATACTGACAATTTTACTCTGCTTTATTTCTAAAAACAACTCCATTTAAGATATTATATTTGTAATATTTTTACTAACCCTAACCCTACATGAAACTAAGTTTTGATTTAATTACGCCATATTGTTTCATTGTCAGTGCTTGATTTCAAGCTGAAATTGGTGAAAGGAAATGATCAGAAAACAGGAACAGTAAGAAAGCTGACAAATTACACACGTTTCAGAATATAGTCCTATACATGCTCAGATAGGATGGCAGTGAAATGTTTTACAAGCTATGTCTATGCAAAGAAAATAAAGGCAGAAAACAGAAGAAAGAAAATAAATACAATATATGAATATCTAAAAGTTGTACAGTAAAGGGAACATAGTGATGTGAAATCCAGATTTAAGTGCGTGTGTGGAGAGATGTGCAATTATATGTAAATGTGTGACTGGTTGACGGTTGGCTAGTGAGAGCATCCTAATGTAGGATCAGGATGTTTTGTGGGAAGTAGCTGCTTCTGAGCCTCCCCATGCAGTGCATCTCGAAATATTTCCCGTCTGATGGCATAAAAGGTTGTAAACATACGGTCTAGAACAGCAGATTCTCTGAAGGCTTTGAGGTTTTTCCTCCTGTGTCGCTGTCCTCGGTGCTGAAGTGTTGGCGCTGTCCAATGTGCTGAAGCCCCCTGCTGATGTGGAGAAGGAATTGCAGCTATATAGAGCACAACACTCAGGGCTCCTGAAATAAAAACCTTATTAATTTTGGCCATAGAGGAATTAACCAATGTTATATGCTTTTGCTGAAGTCATCAGCCCACATTATTTCAACTCGTTTGTCTCTCTATATACAATTATCATTTTTAAACCAATATTTTTATATTTATCCTTTGTATTTAATTTATGTCATTTGCAGTGCTTCATGGAACTGTAGTTCTTTTCTTCATTAGAGCCGTTAAGTACAGAGTCTTGTACCTTTGCCTTTTTGCCTGATTTTCAAATACTTTGTGTTACAAATCAAAGTTTGTAATATTGTGATTCACCTCATAGCCTGCTGGTTTAGTTCATGGTTAAGAGCTCTCAAATAAAGACATTTTGGAAAAATGAATGGGAAAATACTTCCTGAACGAAGACTGATGAAAAAAGTGGACAGGGACTGTACTAAACTTGTATGTTTTAGAATTAAAAATATGCTATATAGATGTTATATATAACATCACACATATTTTAAAGAAGCTGAGTGCTTACATTTTGAATTTTAATTTAATTGTTTGGCATCTTGCATGGTAATTGAAGATTGTAGTTTTGAATCTGTCACCATTGAGCAAAGCATTTGCTGTAATAAGTTTATTGCTCGAATAAGTCCCTGTTATACTGTATGTTTATTGTAATTTATTGTGGATAACAGCATTAGTAATTGTATGTGTTGCTGACATATTTGTGAGTCCAGGTTAAGTCTCATGTCTTTTGTCATCAGTCTGTTTCAAGTTTTAAATTAACATTTTCCTATATTATATATATTAGTTTTATAAATCCTGTCAATTAATTAAATTTATTTAAAAAGAGGAACTATTTCAAGTGATTTCTTTGTTCAGATCAAGTCATACTTACACTATATAAAAATAGTACTGTTTTATGTTTTACTTGAATCAAAAGATAATTTTGTTTAACATCATATATTTTTTAAATGAATAATTTATTGGTCATTTTTAACTTGAGCATTTTTTTCTTTCCATTAATGCAAATATTTTTTTTTTTGTACAATTTCACTCAGAATTTCCCATAATAACAAATAAAACGGCAACTATGGTAATTACTTGTCATTTTGATCCCAACTTATATATGTGTTTTGAGAAACAAGTATGTGAAAAAAATGATGCATATGTGACCAAAACATTAATAAATAAAATAAAATTTATTATAAAATAATAAAATAAACAGTAATATTGTGAAATATTATTACAATAAAAAAACCATTAAGTAAATTTTTTTTTTTTTTAATATTACGTTTTTAGCTTAATATATTTTAAAATGTAGCAGCCATTACTTCAGTCCTCAGTGTCACATGATCCTTCGGAAACATTTACTCTTATAAATGTTGACAACAGTTGTGATGAATAATAAAAAGTTGAAAGTTGAAATATAAATCTTTTTTCACATTATGTCTTAACTGTCACTTTTGATAATTTTAATGCATTCTTGCTGAATAAAAGTATTACTTTCTTAAAAAAAAAAAAATTACTGACGTGAACTATTGAACAGTAGTGTATTATTTTAAAAATACTTTTTTGGAAGTTGTATTCAAAATCCACTTGGCTCTAAAATCTCTTGGGGCAGGTGAATGACATCCAAGTGATTTCTCAAATGTTTTTTCAGTCTAGGTCAGCTTGCACATCTCTCAGACTTGACTCTTTATTGTAGGAGATCTCTCCAGGTGAGCTGACTCTGGAGACTCTGTTGGAGATGTCGGATGAGCAGGTGTGTGAGGCGCTGCAGAAGTTTGGAGCGAGTGAAGAAGAATGTGCTCGGCTCAATGCCTCGCTCACATGTCTACGATCAGCCCACAAATCAGGTGAGTTCACAGGATGCAGCTAAAAATATGATCTAACTGTTCTATAAGCCATCTTACAGCCCTGAATTACTGACAGTAACAATATAAGACAAATGCTGTCCATTTGTCTGTCTGTCTATCTAATAAGACAAATGCTGTCTGCCTGTCTGTCTATCTGTTTATCTGTCTACTGTATGTATCTGTCTGTCTGAATGTCTACACTTTATGGCAAAAAGTACAGCAAATAACCAAAACATAGAATTCTTTAAAATATCATTATATGGTGTAGCATTTAGATTTGTTTTTACTAAAATGACTGGAATAGTTAATTTGAGGTATCCATATATTTTGGTCACATGGTTATGTTCTGGCGTGAAAGAAAAGCTCTATCAGAGATCGTCCAGTAGAGGGCAACACAACGTTAAATTTCATTATTGTGGATTGGGATGGAAAGAGACCTTTATGTTACTCTCTGTCATATAATGCATTTTATTTAGTTTAATATGATGCATTTAGTAATATAGTACTGTGTGTGAAGGCTTTATTTTGTATTTTAGTTTATTAATCACAGATTGTGCAATGGTGAGGGAGCTTTGTGCGTTTGAGTTTGTCTGCATAGTACGTTAAACTTTTTAATTTCAAAATATCAAACAAAATCCTGCTTTTTTACAGTATTATAAGTTGTACAGAAAGTTCCAACTCTAGTTATGATTGAATGAGCCATGATCAGTTAAAATCAATATTAATGATAATTTGTTAATATGCATTTATTTGATTAAAAATACAGTAAAAACAATAATATTGTGAAATATTATTACTACTAAAAATAACCGTTTTTTAGTTTTCATATATTTTAAAATTAATTTTGTTCCTGTGATGGCAAAGCTTAATTTTCATAGCTGTGCAGCATATTTAAAAAAATTTTTTTTAATGTCTTTACTGTCACTTTTGATCAGTTTAATGAATCTGTACTGAATAAAAACATAACTTTATGTGAAAAAGATGTGTAAATTCCACAGAAATGTTTTACTAATTGAATCGTATGTCACCCCATGAGGCTCAAGGTTTTAAATGTATTAGTAATTGTAACATGAATGTTGCATTTCATCTGAATTTAGGCAGTAGGTTATATGCTTGGAATAAGAAAATAAGATTGAGTAACTAATTAATTGACATAATTAAGTGAGACTTAAATTAATCAGTAATTCATAAATTTATTTAATTAAAAGCTTTTAACTAAATGAGGCTTTTCTCCAGATGTTTTCGTTGCAATGAGCTTCAGGGCTGTGTTTATTTATACATGCAGTTTGATACCTCAGAGCTTGTTCGTTGTGTGTGTTTCCACCACTGGAGGGCAGCATTGTATCACGCTCTGAAACACAGCACAGTTTGATAACAGTGTTAGGTAACGTCACACTTTAAATGATCAACTAGATCCTCCTGCAGTGTTTGTCTTCTACCTCCACAGCTGGCGCTGATTGTTCCTGCTCTTACCCGAAAAAGATTTGATTGAAGGAGTGTTTCTGCAGATGTTCAAATCTCACCAGTGTGTGATAAAGTTAGAGCTTGATAACTGATCATTAAAGGACCGGAACATCCTGCTTTATGGACTTTTGTGCTAATCATTTTGTCCTTAATTAATCCATAAATCTATAAAGTGTGACACCCAGAGCATTATCATATCAGATGCATATAAACAGCTTTCTGCATGCATGGAAGTTAATGTTTAACAAATTTAGCTTTGGATATAATTAATGATTTAATTGATACTTATGAGCCAGATTAATAAACAACCCATATTTGGCCATTTTGAAATGACTGGCATTGGTAAATAATATAACTTTTGTGCTAATCATTTTGTCTTTAATTGATCCATAGATCTGTAAAGTGCATCACCCAGAGCATTATCATATCAGATGCATATGCACAACTTTCTGCATGCATGGAAGTTAATGTTTAACAAATTTAATGTTGCAAATGATTAATGATTTAATTGATACTTATGAGACAGATTAATAAACAACCCATATTTGGCCATTTTGAAATTACTGGCATTGGTAGATAATATACATTTTCATACATTAGTCAGTTCCAAAATCATCTGACCCATTTGTGCATAGATGATGCGATGATGCAAACACACACACACATATATATATATATGTATATATATATATTATGATGTGCACTTTTACAGTTATTATTTTAATTTATTAACATTTGGTCTTACATTTTCTATTAAAAGTGGATTTTTTTTTTTGGATTTTGGATTCTGTAATATTTCTGAAAGACAAAAAGTGTGAAACTCAGAAATGCCTGTGTTGGCCAACAGAGGGCAGCAAAGTTTTTTTGAATCTGGTAGTACGTTGCATAAATGTTATAGTAATGATTGAGAGAAAATAAAGGACAACTGTTCTGGCATGTTCTTTAGCAGGTGAATTATATCACGCATACAACTGTACACAAGCATTGTTGTGCTTTATTTAAGTGAACTTATATTTGAGTGTTTGTTTACAGCCTTTTATCCATCTGTTCAAATTGTGCAATTTTGTTTTTTTGAAGTAATAACACATAATGCAATTTGTTGTCATTGAATCTCTTCACCAAATCCACGGTACCCTCACATCCGACCTTTCTTTCCTCCATTGACTCTGTATTTGCTTTGAGTAGCGTTAGTGCGGCTGCCCTGGTGTGCCTGAATTTTCACAAACGTGGATTCCCCGCTGTGATAGTGTTCAGACAGCGCTAACCGCCGGTTGCACTGTTGAAAGTGTGATCAGGCTGGATTGCTTTTTTTAAAGGCGGGTTTAGAGAGGCTTTTAAGATGCTGGTAGCTTGTTGAGACACAGCATGGGCTCCTTCAGGGTCCAGCGGAGGTGCCACACAAGGACTACGGGGGATTCCAGCCGTCACAAGAGCGTGCTGTATAATTTAGAAATGGCACCTCTCGTCATCTTGATTTCTTTTTCTTTCTCACTCTCGTTCTCCATCTGTCTCTCTACCCCCCTTGTTCTCATCTCTGCAGTGTCTTTATTCAGACTCTGATTCATTTAAATGAATAGTTCACCCAAAAATGAGAATTCACGTCGATCCAAACCCACATTTAGGACATTGTTTCTTCTGAGATCCAAACTGCTTTTTTCATCCAATCAAAGTGAATGGTGACCTGGGATGTGGAGCAAAATTTTCAGTGAATAACAAATACAGAGTTCTGGCATGAAACTCTAGATGTCGCAGTCCGATAGGTCTAGCTTAATCTGTCCTGGTCGACATCATTGTCACATGGCAGCTGATTGGTTCTCTCCTGTATCGGTGGCCAATGAGCTTACTGCTCAATATTCAAATACCTGGCTTTTGTTTGCTGTAGCAGTATTGCAGCGCACTTCAGAAACCCTCCACCTTCCCCAGCTCCACCTGTATAGATCTGCTACGGGGTGATTCATGTACGCTATATGGGGGTTATTCATATGTGTTATATGTGCAGCAGCAGTATTTCTTACATGCTTACAGCAGCATGTTGTGGATGTATTGGCAGTAGCAAGTCTCGGTACTTGCTCTGCCGAACAACATAAGAACAACCATCCCCTGTTGTTCTCTCACATCAAAATCCACCAACATATTTGTTTACAACAGTTTTAGACTCTAAACGGTGCTTGATCAGTGCATATTTCTCTCCTGATTCAGATGATTTTTCACTGCAGAAATCAATATTATGAATAGAGGACTTTTAACCAGAAGCAATGGTTTGAAGTTAAAAAAACGACTTGATGGATTTATTACAAACACACCGCTTGTGGTTTATTTACATAACTTGTGGAATATTGTGATGTTTTTATCAGATGTTTTTATCAGCTCATTCTGACGGCACCCCTTCACTGCTGAGGATCCATTGGTAAACAAATGATGTTAAGCTAAATTTATCCAAATCTGTTCTTTAACAAACTCATCTGCATTTTCGATGGGCTGAGGGTGAGTAAATTTTCAGCAAATTGTAATTTTTGTGTGAATTACCAGTCAAAACACTTTTGCAGACTCATAGCAATGTCTTGGCAAACTCACAGAATTTGCATTGTGGCATCAGGTTTTACACATGAGAAAAGTTGATTTGCAACTCATAAATGCAATGAAACTAAAACCGGAAGAATGTACAGTGGTGGCCAAAATTGTTAGAACACCTGACAGATCTAAAAATATTGACCGTTTTTTGCCTCCAAAACACGATTTCATTTCATAATGTTCGTGAAACATGCAGATAGTTGCTCTGAGCACAACAAATAGCAGATGACGTGAGTCGTACTGTTTTTATCCACTTTTAACTTTAATATTTGGTATGTCCACCTTTTGCAGCAATTACAGCTGCACATCTCTCTGGCATAGTGTCAATATATTTCCTGAATTTTGAGACCTCACACCTCATTGCTCTCCAGAGAAAAGAAATAGCATATTAAACAGGACTCTTATAGGCAGAACAAAGCAGCGCAAGGGAATCACGCATAATCTGCTTGATTTGCAACCTAATACAATTACATTAAAACAGATTTAAATGCAATTTTGCTTCATATTTGTACAATTTGCATTCACATTTTCTGCCATTTATTCATTAGACGCACCTTTGATCATTGTATCCACACTGTGAATGTCGGGGGTCGTGACTCTTTCTAGAACAGAATCTGTCGGCTGCTGTAACTTTCTCTTCACATACAGGGCAGAAATCATTTTTCTGGTTTGAGGGATTTCTGTCTTATCTTTTAAAAGGCATACACTGTAACGAAAGTGAAAAGTCACATCTCAGCCGTTTCTCAAGACCTTTCAATAGCCTATTTAAAAAAAAAAAAAAGGTATATACCAATTTCATGTTCAGCGTGTCAGCATTTACTGTATATATCTACCAGTTTATAAAGATGAACAGGTCTATATTACTGTGTATAATTTAATTGACCTCCCATTGGATTCCTTTTAGCCTTTAAACAGGTACTTTATACATTGAAGAAAAAAAAAAACTACCTGAGCTAGTAAGTGAG